GGGGAGGGAGGTATACTACCGTGCTATTTACACAGAAGATACCGGAGTATCTTTTCAAAAAAAAAAACCTACGGTCAAAGTTACCATGGTGCTTCTACCTCAGTTATCAGATGTGCACTGCGTATATTACCATCTATTTACACATAAATTATCAGGTATCTTTTCACATTTGTTTTCCCCTATGGTTAAAGTTACCACGATGTTTGTATCTAAATTATCAGGTCTATGGCGTGAATGTTATCGTGCTATTTACAGAAATTACCAGGGGCGGGTTCAACAAATTTATTCCCAATGATCAAAGTTACCACGATGCTTGAAACAAAATTTTTTTCAGTGCTAACATATTAAAGGCAAAAACATGTCAAAACAGTATTTCCCTTAGAATGTTCAACAATGAGTGTGATAGGTGAGGTGGTTAGCTCCCTTTGTTAATTACCTGCAGACTAGAGATCAAATCCTAGTCTAAGCATTTTTTTTTGCTGAAAATCGAGAAGGCGTGTGGGTCCATAAATAACGATTACGAAAATTAGGAAGGCACGAGCGGGTGTGCCCAATAAAATCGGGGAGGACGTGCGGGAAAGAAAAGAAATCGGAGGAGGACGTGAGGGAAAAGAAAGAAATCAGGAGGTCGTGCGAAAAAGGAAGGAAATCGGGAGAGAATTGATGGCGTTGGATGCATGTGACAGTTTCGCAATCTGCCACACGGTTGCCATATACATATTTCGTTACATTTAATTCTTATATACTTTCAAAAACTATTGTTTTCAAGAATTCATGTTCCATATAATCAAAATCTCATTAAAATATTGTAAATATTCCCGCAACAACGTGCGGGGCATCATCTAGTTAACTAAACTACTATGTACTTTACATACATGATTTGTAATATATATTTTGCGGGAATATGATTTGTAATTTACTATAGCAAATGGGCAGTGCTACGCGTCGGCCGGTGGATCTTTTAAAAAGATCCGCCGCCTCGCGAGCCGTTCGATTGTACAACGCAAGCTGTATGTTATTCTTCTCTAATTTCTTGTAACAATGCTTTTGTTGTGGAATCTCTTCTTCTCTAACTTTCTGCAACAAGAGCCTTGTTACAAAAATCTCTTCTCTAATTTTCTGCAACAAGGTCTCTGTTGCAAAATATTCTCTTCTTTAATTTACTGTAACAAGACCCATGTTGCAAATCTTTTCTTCTCTATTTTTCTGCAACAAGACCCTTGATGCAAAACGTTTTCACTTATTTTTTCTATAACAAGACTCTTGTTGCACAACCTTCATTGCAATAGGATCCAACATCTCTAGCTTATTCTATGTATTCCTGCAACAAGACTGTTGTTGCGAAAACTTGCAAGAACACCGACGGCTGCAACGGAGAGAGCACCCCGTGTGAAAGAACATGTGGTGCCACCATGTTTGGTTTTGGTAATTGATGACAATCTCTCTGGACTAATGGTTTCCTTGAGTTATATTTGAAGGGTTTGTCCATAGGCTTTTCTTGGAGTCCATTTGTTGGTTTCAAGGAGAGTTTGTGATGACCAAGGTGCTATTAAGGAATTATCCAAAGATTGGTCTTGTGAGTGTTGAGCTTGCAAGCATGTCTTGAAGAAGAAGTGTGTGTGATCATTCATGTTTACATTCAAGACATCATCCAAATGAAGAGAGTTGTAAAGATTCAAGGTTGATCAAGACTAAGTCAAAGAGTGAATCAAGTTGATCAACACACAAAGCGTAGAAGATGTACCGAGAGGGATCACGTGATCGCATGGTAAGGTAAGCATTGTCCTTTATGCTTTGTGTACTAACCCATGGTCTACGTGGGAGTTCTATATGGGGTTAGGTATGTTTCCATGGGCTAGCATCAAGAGGAAGATATTATACAACCCATGGAGGATGACATCAAATGGTGGTCATCATCAAGTCTGCGATGTGCAAGTTCAAGCGGAGCATCACAAAGAGATCAAGTGCTTGAAGCTTGCCGTCCATTGTGGTGACAATGAACTTGTGAAGATGTGCCGAAGAGTGGCTCACCCATAGTGGAGTATGGGGAGCAATCTACTAGTCTTCACCAAGCCAACGCAATCAAGAAAGGTGGTCTAGCTTGAGGGAGTCAAGATCGTCATCATCCAGCTCAAGTGGACTATATGCAAGGCAAAGGTTTGCTCTTGATAGGTTTTCTATTTTACCGGTCTCATGGTAGTTGTGGGAGAATGGGTTATAGGATCGATTGTCGTTCTTTCAAGGGGGTCTCTCGATGAGTAGCTTGATTGTATCGTTCGTAGAGAGCTCAAACCATTGCATCCTTGCATCATCTTTATTGGTTCTTGTTTGGTTTTTCTCCTTGTGAGATTTGGAGTTTTTGGTCATCTTCATGACAAGCTCGAGTTCATCGAAAATGGAGTTAACATGCATATTCTATGATGTTTTCGATGTTGGAGGTTATGCCGGTTCTTCTCGGTTGGAGGTTTCTCTCATCTATATATTAGGCATACCTCCCCTGCCTCTTCTCATTATAACCTTTTGCTGCTTGGATGCTACTCGTTGTCTTCTATCCAACAAGTTTGAGTTTACTCAATTCGGAGTTCATTTGCAGAAGCTGTGGCAGTTTTGGCTTTATTGCATCCTCTGTTTTCTCTGTTGTGTTCTTAAAGCCTCAAGCGGTAGTACTGCTCTCTCTAGCGGTAGTACCTCTTGTAAGAGGTAGTACTGCGGCCTTGTGCCGCGCGTAGTACTGCTGCTTTTGGGATGTGTTTTTCGTGTTGGGTTTCGCGATAAGCGGTACTAACTCTCCCCTCGAGCGGTAGTACCTCTTATAAGCGGTACTACCTCTCCCCCCGAGCGGTAGTACCTCTTATAAGTGGTACGACCTCTCCCCCCAAGCAGTAGTACCTCTTATAAGCGGTACCACCTCTCCCCTCGAGCGGTAGTACCTCTTATAAGCGGTACTACCTCTCCCCAGAGCGGTACTACCTCTCCCCAGAGCGGTACTACCTCTCCCCAGAGCGGTACTACCTCTCTCTCAGATTTTCAGCTCGTGTTTTTCTCTCTCAT